ATTTTCAATATTATAATATTACAATAATCAGTGATGATAATATTAATGGTCATATGATCAGTAATGAATCATCAGCAACTATTCCTTCTCTTATTATTGGTACTAATTATTCATTTATTATTATTCCTATTGATACTATTGGAAGAGAAGGACCTCCTTCATCATTAATACAGTATATATGGAATGGTAAGTACTATACACACACACACACTCATTGTATTTCTTATAGTACCAGCTCAAGTTATTAATATTAGCTGGGATCAGATATCAACTGAAAGAATTACAATATGGTGGAATAACAATAAAGTATGTTAAGATATTATTAACTATAAATCATTATTATTATTAATAGGATGTTACATTACATTATCCTCCAGTACATTACATTGTTAGTGTACACAATATTACTATTAATACAACTGATACTAATGTAACTATTAATGGACTATATCCCAATAATGAATATACTGTGTACATAAAACCAGTTAATGCTATTGGAGAGGGACCACTGATTAACATTACAGGGTTGTTTATTATAAACTGATGAGAATAGTTAGTTTATTGTGTCTAACCTTTAGTCAACATAACTGAGCAACAGTTCATTTTAATAACAATTGACCACTTTAACTGATCAGTATAACATAATAATAGTATAAAAATATATACAAATGTCTACTAGATTAGATCTAATACTTTCCATTCCATATTTGTTATAGTTTCAGTTATTGAAAGTTTATCTGATGCTATCACCAGTAGCAGCAATGACAAATTCACTTCAACATCAATATCTCTGATGATCATTAATAATACATTAGTATCAGAAACTTCAAGCAGCATAGAACCATCAATAATATCAAGTTTGTACTGAATACCGGTACATTTTATAATATAATACTGAAATCTATTAGTCAGTGCAATGCTTTCATACTAACTGACATTTTATTGCAATTTGTAAGTGCCTGAAAACCATCCAAAATTTGGCGAAACAATAAGTTGTTAATGCTTAGGTATTGTTCATAAAAAGCTCCAAAATTACCTTTTATTTTCTGATACATATTGATCCCCTTATGCTGTGTAAAAATTTTAAGCTGATTCTGACTTCATTTTTTAAAGTAATTGCCATTTTTTGAAATGGCCAATTTTTGAAAATTACCCAAGGCTAAAAGCCCATATTTTTCTTTAAAATGGCTCGAAAATCATCCCCACATTCTATTACATAGTTTGAGC